TATCTAATAATAAATTAGGTATTAATTGACGTACAGGTATGCGACCATCCGATGTTTTAAACGGCATAAACCATAGTATAGTTTTTCTCGTTAAATGATATTTTTTAAATAGATAACTACAAAATGATGTGGCTAAAATAAATATTAATAAATTATACTCATGTAAACCACCCATAAAGTAGCAAATATCAAATAATAATAATTTTGTATTTAATTTAGTACTTTTTGCTATAAATAATGACACAAATTTTATAAGATTAAACATATATATAAAGTATATAAAATACTCAATCAATTGATTTGCTTTGTTGAGTATAGCTTTTTGATAAAACTTATCGTAATAATAATTAACTAAAATATTTTGTTGCTTAAAATCTATAAATTGAATCATTTTGTTATTGTTGTTAATGGTTAGAAAATTTAAAAATAATTAAGAAAAATTTTATTTTAATAATTTTAATTTATCTAATATAAAAGCAAGTTTATATTTTATTATAGAAATTTATTTTATAAGTATAAAAATATTTTTAAATATGTTTTATATTAACTATAAAAATACATTTGTTTGATTGATCATTATTAAGTTTTCTTATTAACTTTTGATTAATGATATAAAAACACACATTAGTTAGTCATATAATATATTTAAATTATGTTAATGACAGAAAACATTAATTATAATGTATTAATAAATATGTATAATATAGCAAAATATGTTAAATATTATGAATTTGAATCTATTATGAACTTAAAATAAAAATAAAGACATCGATAAAAATTATTTGAACTATAATGAAAATTAAAATAATACTATAACATTGCAAACAATTATTATAATTATCTAAATATATATATATTTATTTATGTAAAGTCTATCATTTATAATTATGTAGTTCAAAATAAATAAACTATTATTTATATAAATACTTAAATGTTAACATTTTCAAATTATTACAATTAATTTTCAATGTTTATAAAGTTTGTACTGGTATTATATGTATTGAAATTGATTTGAAGTCAATCAAATATTATTCCACATAAATAATAAAAATATATAAATAGTTTCATAAATATTATCTGATTTTTTATAGCAATATTGATTGATGTTTAACACCTAACATACTTTACCACTTAATCACTTAAATTAATTGTTTACATTGATATTATAATAATATGTTAAGATTTAATAATTTATTTATACCATAAATACAATTTAACAGATTTAATATTATTATAATATTTCTATAAAACGTAAATATACAAAATAATAATTTTGTTAAATTAAGTAATATAAATATGTATTTGTTTAAATAAAAAATATCAACTTTATTGCATTTATTAATTTCACTAAAATCTTTTTAAAATATAACATTAACATTATAAACTAAAAATTCATTAATACTGTCAAATAATAAAATAATCTAAAAAGTATTATTGATATAACAATTTATTAAAATAATATGTTACTAAAAATTAAAATACTAATATAGAAATTATTGTAAATAATTAATTTACTGATGTATTTTATAAATTATAATGCTGATTAAATAAAAAATTGAAATATATATTACAAATTATAATACATTTAAGATTATAATTCATTTAAACAAAACAAAAATATTAATTAATTTAATCTAAACTTTGCTTTGCATCATAATAACGGTATAGTTCAACACAAATGTAAATATCTGTTAAAATAAAAATTATGACAAATTAATTATAAATTATATTTAATATTTAATTTTTTTATATAAAATAATACCGCAATGAATGTGTGTTTATTAAGTGTCGCAAAACCAGCGATAGTAAAGCCAATGTTTGTCAATGTATTAGTCGTTAAATTTCTAAATATATGCCATTCATTGCTAACACTACTATCTGATGACAGACCGGTGGCGGCCATCGATTCCAACACTGCATTCAAATTGAGTACCGATTGACCAACAGATCCGCACATCAAACACGAAATGATAAACTCTATGACATAACCAATACTAACAATACCTATCATTATAGCATTATTTTTAATAAATAGTATTTCATTAGCTTTCGATAGGAAAAATATGCCTAACATTGACATCATTATTGCGATTATTGTATTACACATTATTATTAAGTTAATAATATTATCCATTGAATCAATAGTTGTCTTAAGTTTTATAAATAAATTTAAATTTTGTTTTAATTTTGACGATTTAAATAGAGCATCTAAAAAAATATTATTAAAAAATTTAAATTAAAACATTATTATTATTTATCATATTATACAATACAATAAGATATTACATTTGAGCTCTACTGCCATATTATCAATTGTATTACTAAAACACAACGATATTATCCATATTATGACTGGAAATATCCAAATATATGTTAGATTGAAATAACCAAAAATATTTGAAAATATATGAATTAAGTCATTTCTAGCTCTAATAAGATTTAATATTATGATAAACAATGCAATTTGTCGTATTATTAATATAACTATGGATGCAATAAATTTTTTGTTAAATTTAAAAATTTTGTTCAATCCATGAGCTAATAGATTGTCGTTAATAAAATTGACAAATGTTTCAATAAATTTATAGGCTTTAAGGTTTGCATAATATATGATAATAATTATATGTAATAACTGTGTGATCTGAATCAATAATAATAATAATGAAAAATACTTGAATTGTGATTCATTAAATATTATTTTACTTGAAACAATTGTATCATATAATTGTAGTGAACCAACAAATATCACAGTTAGACCAAATAGATTGCTAATATATTTCAAAAATCTACTTGATGATATTGTTATTTTGTTGTCACTATTGATATCTAATTTAAGTCCACCAAATGTTAAGCCAGAAAAACGATAAAAATAAATCAATGATTGAATAAATATAATTTGCAGTTTAGAAATGCCATATTTAGTATTTGATTTTGTATTTTTTAATATTATCATTTTATCAAATTAGTTATACTAAAAAAATCTAAAGTATTGTATTACTGATTTATTATTTAAATAATTATATAAATACTAACTATTTTTTTTTAATTTAGCTGTTTTAAAAAACGTTATGTAAAATCAGTTTTATTTATATAATATAGATACTTCATATACTGTATAAATAATATAAGATATTTTAATAAAATTAATTATTTACTTTTATATTATTTACTTAATCAGAAAACTAATTTATTTATTTAATAATTAAATATTTACTGTATGTTTAATAAAACGTACAAAAAAATATTAAAGAAATTTTTTCCAATTTATTACAATTGTATTTATTTAATAAATATAAACTCAATTTTTTACATATTTACGTGAAAAACTATATAAAATGTCAGGGTTAAATAAGGTAGGGTATGGTAGAGTATGACCATTCCACCCCCTCATCGATATAGTTCAAGCAATAAAATAAAATATTTAAATAATTAATAAGAAAATAATTTAATTATTCTAAAAAGTTATTTTTATTCTTAAGTAAATATTTGCTGTATTTTTATAAAACATTTTTTACAAAACATTTGACATTTATTATTATTGTTCTTATAATACATTAATATTTATTATTTTTAATTAATAATATACTGTATATTATAATATATCAATAAATAAATAAAAATAAATATAAGCATTTTATATTATATGTAAATTATATTAACAGGCAATATACCGGTATAGATATTGTATTTTATTATGTTATATAAAATTTGTTTTGCAATATATAATAATTAAATAAAATTTATTAAAACATTATTATTGAATAAATATGAACTCAAATCTATTATTTCATATTTATATGATTTAATGATGTAAATTATGACATATGTATAAAATATTTAAAATAATCTTAAGATTATAGAATTATTTTAAAATTATTTATTCAATTAAAATACAAATATAAAGTTAATTAAAAAACTTTAAAAAAATACAAATACAACTAATAAAATAAATAATATCATATATATAACTAAATTACATTTCCCATTAAGAATGCAGTTAATTACTCGATATTTCAATAACAAAATTGATCTAACTCAATTACTAGAAAAACATTTAGCAAAAATAGGGTTAATAAAAAGATAGTATGATTAGAAAAAATTAGTTTATTTTAAAAATATTAATTGCCTTAAAAAAAATAAAACAATTGTATAAAAAATAGTATTTTCATATTTTGCTTTGCATCATAATAACGGTGTAATTCAATACAAATGTAAATATCTGTTATGAAATAATAAAATAATTATTAAGTATTTACAGTATTTGTTAAGTATTACCGCAATGAGTGTGTATTTATTAAGTGTCGCAAAACCAGCGATAGTAAAGCCAATGTTTGTCAATGTATTAGTCGTTATATTTCTAAATATATGCCATTCATTGCTAACACTACTATCTGATGACAGACAGGTGGCGGCCATCGATTCCAACACTGCATTCAAATTGAGTACCGATTGACCAACAGATCCGCACATCAAACACGAAATGATAAACTCAGTGATGACCCCAATAGAGGCCACACCGATAATCATAGCGTTATCTCTAATAAATGGTAATTCATTTGTTTTTGTCAATAATAAGATACCGGTCATCGACATGAATATCATATATATTGTATTAGACATTATTAGACAATTAATACATTTATCAATGTTAGTGATAGTTGTTTTTAGTTTCATAAAAACAGTCAAATTTTTTCTTAGTTTATCTATAATTAAAAAACATTAAAATTCTCATTATTATAACAATCTTACAATAAATATTTATAATTTAAATACAATATTTATATATTTTTATTTTATAACAACTATATTAGTAATTTTAATCAATATATGAATTAATTTAATAAAATCAATTATTATAAATTAGGTTTTTTAAAATAATTAATCTAAATTAAACATTAGTTTTAAACATATATAAAATTATTGTTAACCTATAGTAATGCTGTTATTAACATTAATTGTCAGATCCATAGACATGTTTTTGATAATGTTTGAAATATACCATGATATTATCCAGGTTATCCCTGGAAATATCCACATCCCTGGTTATATGTATACATTAAACAATGACAAAACATAGCTAATATTTCATAACTAATATGACTGGATACTAGTTTATTTAAAAATAAATAAACTAGCAACAATTGATGAATTATCCATATTATAGTAATAATAATAACATTTTTATCACATTTGAAACAATTATAATGTGAATAATTGACAAATTCAAACATTTGGTCAAACAGAGGATATGATCGGAAATTTGCGATAAATAATATTGCTGTCAGAATTGCAAACATTAGCAATTGAATCGATAGTATTTGTAGAAAATAGGCATTAATTTGATTATAAACTGTAAATTTATCAGTAATTACATTATAAAGTTGAAATCCTGAGACTATATAAATAATTAATGCCATTAAATAGCCATACAATTTGTACCATTTGTTTGATTTAATTGTGATCTTATTATTATTATTTGATTTAAGACTTATCTGAATTCCACCAAATGTTATGCCAAATATACGACAATAACATATAAATGTTTGAATAAATATAAATTCATTTTTAGAAAGTAACCCATTATAGGGATACTTTGATTTACTCATTGTTTAGTAATTGTTTTTAACTAATTTTAGTTTTGATAAAAAAAACCAATGAAAATGCTAAAATATAATCTATGATTTTATTTAGTTATATAGAGAAAAATTTTTACTTTTAAAATCTATAAAATAGACTACAGTTTTTATATAATATAGTTTAGTAAATCATTTTTTTTATTAATGTTTTTTATTGAAATCATTGTAAATAAACATATTCTAACTTTTATTTTGAATAAATATACGATTAAATATTAAATATTTAGTTATTAATCATATAGTAAACCGGTATATACTATAGTATTAAATAATATTTTAGTTTGCAGTAAATAAAATTTGAATAAATGTTTAATGTAAATTTATTATTACAAAATTATTAAAATAAAAAATAACTATAAAAGTAAATATATAATTTTGACATATAAATAACAAAATAATATTAACTGTTAAATACAATATAATACAATAAATTGCATATTAATCAATAAAATCATTTATATATAGAAAATAAAATGTTTTTATAAAATGTTTAAACTATTATCAATATATTAATGTATAATATAATACATCAGTAAATAATTAGTACTGTATTTTTAAAAATCTTTACTCAACCCTATTGATGAAAAAAACATCTGTTAAACATATGATCTTAAAAATAATTATAGATTTTCAAAAACAGTTCATCCAATTGTATGACAAAACAAAAACATTTATATACAGTGTCTTAGACACCATAGAAATAACTGTATTCATCCAAAAACTTATTTACATCAATAATAGTCAAAATTACAGTATATTATAAATGTATAATTTCTATATTGTATTATATTATTATTATTGTTTGTTTTTTGTTTTACTTAATAATTTTTATGAACTTATATCTTATAATAGATACAATATATAAATATAATAACTAATATAAAAAAATGAATTTTAACGAAAAATTAAAAAATAATTTAACAAAATTAAAAAAATTGCAAAATTTGTCACAATGTTTGCAAAAAATTAATGTTAATTATTATAATAAATTATCTGATGTTTTGTATGATCAAGTTTCTAAAATTAACTGTAAAAATAGTAAATATAATAAAAATATTTCTAAAAATGATTTTAAATCATTAAAAATAATATTAAATTTTAAACATCTCAATCAAAACCAATTGAATTCACAAATCAATTATAATTTACGTTACAATCGGCGGCAGTATTATAAAAGTAATGGTATGTATAATAAATTATGAATTATTTTATTAAAAAAGTTATATAAAAATAATACTAAAGTTGTTGATTACAGCAGACATTAGTGAATCGGATTATGAATCGGATTATGAATCGGACAGTGGATCTGATAGTTCAGAGACAACAAGTTTTGTGCACAAAATAACCGACAACTCGACTAATGATTGTCCATATGATGGCTGTTGCAAATCATTTGCAACCAAATATGCACTCAACAGACATATTAAATATATTCATACAAAAGTTAGGCCAAACCGGTGTGATGTCAAAGGTTGTCAAATGAAATTTGTTGATAACTACACACTTAATAATCATCGAGTCGTTCATTTCAAACGGAAACAGTTGTTTGTCTGCGATGTCGACAACAACGACAACAACAACAACAACTGCGGCAAACAGTTTACAACAAACCAATGTCTCGTAAGACACAAATTGCGCGATCACTCAATAATTGTGCCGAAATATCGATGCAATTATAAGGGTTGCGGCAAACAGTTTGTACATAATTATCATTTGAATCGACACAAACGTAAAGTACATTTACGGCAATTGGCGTTCAAATGTGAGTACAATGGTTGCAACAAATCGTTTTCAGATAACTCGCATTTAGCTAAACACCGGTTCATACATACCGGCCAAAAGCCACACATATGTCATGTCAAAGGTTGTCGTCAAAGATTTAAACAATTGGTTCACTTAACTCGCCATCAATTTACGGCACATAAACTCTATTAATTGTACTAGGTTATTTATAAAAAACATTAGACATTTTGTAAAAAATAATAATAATGTTCAATATAAAAATGTTTAATTTATGTAATAATATTAATAATAATAAAGACAAAGTATATAAGATTATTTTAAATTTGATTTATTTAGTTGTTATTTTAAAATAATAGTTATTTTTTTTGTTTTTTAGATTTTTAAAAAAAACCCTATCATAACTTATTTTGTTCAAATTATAACTTATAAATTATGTTAAGTTATAATTATTATCATAGTTAGAAATTAGTAATTTGTTGTATTTATAATATTTAAAAAAAATTAATTATAAATTTTAGCACACTATTTTTTATCAAACTTAACCATAACTATTTTATTGAAAAATTATTAAAATAAAAAAGGTATTCCCTTATTATGACTTTTTTTTATAGTTTTCCTGTAATAATCACTACTACTGTAGAGCTCAGGTAGCTTTCACATGACAACCCTCTGTTAACAGCCATCTATTGTTTAAGTCATTGCACTGATTAATATCTTTTTTTTTGTTTATCAATGTTTAAGCGCAAATAGTTTACAAACATATTGATAAATAAATACCAATAAAAATACTTTATTTTATTTGTATTATCAAAACATGTGTACTTTTATTGTTTGGATATAAATATTTGTGTATTTTCGCTGCCATTTCTATACAATTATACAGTTTTTCATAAGCTATTGCTATAATACTGTAATTGTCATCAAAAATATTTATTATTAAAAACTATTTGTTAAAAAAGTTTCACAACAATAATAACAACAAAATGAATAGTGAAATAAACGTTACTATAAAACAATTGAATAGCAAATTAATGAGATTATATCATATGAAATGTTTAGTAAAAAAGTTGTCTAAACTTAACGATAAATTTCAGAAAGAAAATAACAGTTTATTTGATAATAATAATAATAATAATAATTTTGATGAAAATTTAGTTGAATGTAATTCATTGAAAGTTTGCCACAAAATACTATTACCCAATGTTTTGGACAAATTTGTTGATAATATTAATGATAAAAAATACAAATGCGATGTCAATGGTTGTAATAAATCCTATACCAATGCAACTAATCTATACAATCATAAACAGTGTCATCACTTTAATCGCAAGTATAGGTGTGATGTCGGCGATTGTAATAAAAAATACGGACAAAATCATACACTATTACGACATAAACGACTCGTCCATGCAATCCGGCGGCCATACAATTGTGATGCCATTGATTGCGACAAAACGTTTTGCACGCGAAACGCATTGTTTGACCACAAAAGGTCTGAACACTTAGCGGTAATGGTTAAGAAAAAAGTAGTTAATAATAATAATAACAATACTAAAGATTTTGTATGCGATTGGCCACAGTGTAGCTACCGGTGCACTGGTAGTCGTAATCTGGCCGCACATAAACGTCAAGTACATACTGTGGGCAAACAACCAAAGAGGGGACAATTTAAATGTGTTTACGACGGCTGCAACAGACAATATAATAAAATGCTTACACTGTTAGTACACCAACGATTGGCTCATCATATCAATGATAATTTTACCGATAGTCGGGTCAATACAAATCAAAACAAACAGATTACTGATAAAGAAATAGTCAATAATAATAAAGATTTTGTATGCAATTGGCCACAATGTACATACCGATACACTGGCCCGCCGGGTGACGGTAGTCAGGAACTGGTCCGACACAAAAAGATAAGACATAAATTGAAACCAAAGACAAAGGCGTTTAGATGTGTTTACGACGGTTGTGACAAACAATATTATAATGTGGCGGAACTGTTAAAACATCGTCGATCGGCTCATAACATCTACTCTAATCGTACGGCAAATAAATACAATACAATTACCGGTAGTGACGGTAATAATCAACAATTATATTGTTATGTAGTCGTGTCTAACAAATCATATAAATATACGTTGGGATCTAAGTCTTAAATAAGTTTTTAAATTTTTATTTTATATTTTTGTATAATTTTCTATTTAATTACATATTAAGGCAGAATTATTATACAGTTTATTATTATTGAAATAAAAAATTTTCCTAAAATATATGTTCATAAGATAATTCATAATTTAATAGAATTATTCCTTTTAATACATAAAATAATTAAATATATTTTTATATTTATTTATAATTAACTAAATTGTCAAATAAAACAATTTCTTATATATTTATAAATATTTACATTTGAATATTGATTTTATTCGAAAAAAAATAATTACTAATTAAATGCCCTATTATTGTCATTATAATAAACATTATAAGCACCGCAAATCACATACCAGTCCTTAATCTACTGGTGCTCAAAAAACAGCAAATAGTGAACCATCAAATAAATAAGCCAAAAATATAAACTATTTAAAATTAAATTATTCAAAATTACAAATAAAGTATATTTTGTGTAAAAATATCATTAAAAAAATTAAATTAAATATATGTAAAAATCAAATAATATTAAAGCAAATTATATTAAAAATAGCGCTAAAAAATGACTGAAATATATTTATAAAATTATGCTAAAAATACTTTCAATATATTTGGTTTTAATTGATATTAATGACAAAAAAAAATTAATTCACTAATAATCAAACAAAATATTAGTCAAACATATCGTCTAATATGGAGTTAATCACTGTATTTAAAAAAAACTAAAACATTGATTAACAAAACAATTATTGAGATTTTTATGATGCAGTCGCTGTTACATTTAATCATAATTGTGATAATGAGAGCACATGTATCTCATATCTATTCAATACCAAAAGTGGACGACTCTTCCACAGCTAAAAGGAGTTTCTCGTAAAGCATTTCAAATGAGGTATACGGCGGCAGATCTAATCGATTGAAACAAGTGTGTGCTCTGGTATGTCGAGAAAAATACAAAAACAATTAGTTAGCAAAAAAAATGACAGACAATAGCACTACTACTTATACCTGGGAAGACTGGTAGGTTTGCCCCACTTTTCAATGCAAAACTTTCGCGGACCGTTAGACCCTCTGAGAGCTGCAAATCCTTCGTAAGGTATGGACGACGTTCCCGTCACAAACTGTAGTAGTCGTAAGCGCTGTTCGTTATCAAACTTGCGATCGATGGCCGTCCAAAACCATTGTATCACTGGATGTGAGTCGTGATAGCCACTACGGTATTCAGTATTTTTACGCCAATCGCATACATCGATTTCGGCTGTACCGGCAATTACAAGCTCCAGTTCCCTGGCGTCAAATACGCTGACAAATCGTTGGTCGATAACCTCAAAGAAACCCTTGACAAGTGAATCGGTTTGATCGACAACACCTCTTTCCAGTCGCCACTTAACCATACGGTCGATGTACTCCTTTTTGTTGCGCTCAGTCACTGCTATGTTACGGCCGCCGGCTTTAAGCTCCTGTATGTTAGCACAAAATATGTATTAATTATTTATTAGATTAACTTAAATAAAAATGCAAAACATAAGATAAATTTTGTATATCACTGTATATTAGGTCAATAACAGATATATCTTTATTATTAATAACTTATTAATCTTTCTCACTATTCTCTCTCTCTCTCTCTCTCTCTCTCTCTCTCTCTAATGCAAATATACATTCATAATACCATTTAAATGTGATTAAAAAATATGTGATAAACATTACTCAATAAACTACGAACTCATACAACACCAGCGCTATTGTCAATTCAAAGAACAATAATCACAGTCACAATAGTTGACTAACCTTTTCGACAACTTGTCCGGCAATCTCTTCGATCACCGAAAACGTCAGATCCAAACTCTCCCAGATATCGGTAATATCATTATCTTTAAGCCACAGTAAGCTCTGGTGAAACTCGGCGTCCAAGTACTCTAAGTCGGACAGTGAACAGGGCAACCGTAATAGTGCTTTATAGAAGGGACGGGTAAAAAAGGCATCCAAAAGATACTGGTGCACGAGTGCCAGTCCTATTACACGACCAGAAAATCTAAACCACTCGTGACAGTCATCGACAAAGGCGCTCATCGGTGACACCTATCATATATGTGATGAACAAACACATGAAATCATTTTTTTAGTAAAAAAGAATTTTAAAATATAATATTTGCTAAAATATTTTCAAATAATAAATTTAATATCTTTTAAAAATAAAGTTAATAAATATATTATTAAATTAAGATTAAATAACTAAAAAACACAGTATTACTCAGTGCTACCAGTGCTTAGCACATACCTGAACGGTGTACGTATCGTTGGCCGAGTACTCGAACAGTCCGTAGTATGGGTTAAACAGTTCGCGTGATAGCAGGAAAAAGAACTCACGGGACGGACCGCCATAATCCAGTCCCTCTTCGCCGGCAAAAGAGATGTAGAGTTTGGACTTTTGTAGGTCTTTCTTGTTATTGGCGGCCATAATCTTATTGAAGGCATCCTCCAGTAGATGATCTCTTCGTACATTAAGTTTCATTTTGTTAGGTCCCTGACCCATACCCTTCTGTTCGAGTTTACGATAAAAATTACGAAGTTTGGCGTCAAAATCACGTCTGTAAGGTGCCGGTGGTGTCGGTGCCACTCGGATCTGGTATTAAAATAAAAATACAATAAAATGATAAGTGAAATATCTTGTAATAAAAAAAACTTAGTAAATGATTATACTTGTGATCGTTGAACTTGTGGTGAGTTTTGTGGTGATGTGTTGTTGGCAACGGTACTACTCCTGGCAGCAGCGGCAGCGCCACCAGAAACGGTTGGTAAATGATCACTGGATGGCACGTATGACATAATCTCTTGTTCAAAGAGTGACAATAGAATAGTTAGCTCGAGATCGTCGCTAAATCTATCCAAAGCTAACGTTCCGTCCGATCTAATGGTATGCAGTTTGTCTCGTAAACTACTATTTGATTTGACAGCCGGTCGCCGTTCGCACAGTATGTCCATTATGTTTGGTTGACGGAGGAATGCAACAACTTTATCATTGTATGCCGTGGGAACTGCTGATGAACAGGTAGGCGTAGAGGCCGATGTCGTTGGAGGCCGAGGAGGCGGTATTGGACTTGAAGAACTGGCCGTTTCCTCTTGCGGTTCGTTGTCCGCCGCATTATTGTTAGTATTGCGCACACGACGACGACTCGGCGCCATTACCAGTTTGTGTGGATTCACTACCGGCACGTCTACCGGTAGGCGCGGGTCGATAAACGTTGTACTACGACTTGTGTGGTCAATAAAAAACTTTTTGCCTGTTCTGTCAATTTTTGACTCCCAACCTAACGGTGCAATCAAAAGAAGAAAAATTACTTAGCAAATAGAAAATTATATTACAATTATATAGTTATAGTATATAATGAATGTCATACCGGATGGCAATTCCCTATTATTTTCGGCAAATTTATTCAGCAGTGATACCAAATCGCGGTTGTGTTGGTAGCGCTCAAAAGCACTGGTAATCTGGTGTTGACCTTCCCGTCGGACTTTTGTGACCATATGTTTCAGTGATGACGAACTGTTATACTGGGCCAGCGCTTCGTCATTCATATGCATAACATTGAAAAAGTCGGTTCGTGTAAGAAACCGGACGGCCGGCAGGTTTAGTATGGCTCGATTGGGTGAGACAACAGCCGGCGTTGTAACTGTCGATGATTGTGGGGTGGCTGTGGCAGCACTGGTAGTAACTGTCGTAGAGCTACTACTACTACTGGTGGTTGTGGTGGGGGTGGTAATAGTGGTGATGGCGGGTGTAATGGATGTGGTAGGAGGTGTGACTGTCGGCTGTACTAATGAAGTGGACATCAATACTGCTGCTGATGATGTCGATGACGGAACGTGCGATGAATTGGTGGTAACTGTATACGATTGTTGTGTCGATAGTGACTGACCATCGGGCGTATCGGGTGACGGTTGACTAACATTGCTTGTGATGACGGCGCCCACCGATTTAGCTTTGGTGTGAGCGTCACGTGAACCGCGACCAGTCATTGTACGTCTAATGGATTGATAGCTATTGACAAAAACAAACCACAAAAAATAATAATAAAATGTTTTATTTAATTATTAATAATTTAAATTTTTTATTCAAAAAATGCTGATCAATTTTTCTTTGAAAATATTTTATTTTTTAAACTATAAATTTATGATTATTTAATAAAAAAAAGTTACTGTATTCAATTAGAGTAACTTATTTTAGACTAAATTTATTGAGGAAAATAAAAAATATCTTTTTTAATAACTTTACTAGCTACAATATTCATAAATTATACCGGTACAGTTGCTAGTGATGAATTTGCATTAATAGAATGATATACTAAATTATATTTATTTAAAATAAAATAAAATTAATTAAAATTTTATTTATTTTTTTATTTATTTTTTTTTATTTGAACATTTGATCATTTGTTAAGCTAAATAATATTTCTATTGTCATTCAATAGTACTAATTAAATATATACAATATTTACATTTGTATATTACAAAATTTAATCAACAATAAAAATAAATTACAAAAAATTAAAAATAAATGACATTTAATTTTAAATTAGTAAACATAAAAAATAATTTCATGATTTACTTATTATTAGATACAGTAAATTGATATCAAAGACAGGGGAACAGTAGCTAACAAAATCTAGAAAAACCGTTACATACCGTCTGTCCAATTGTTGTCGTTGAATGGACTCATTGTTTTGTGCCGTATTTGTCGACTGTTGTTGGGTCTGATGCTGTGTCTGCTGCGGCCGAGACCAAGTGGTCGTCCTATTTGTATGGTCTATATAGAAGACTCTGCCGTGGGCGTCCACCCGGGCCTCCCAATTGGTCGGCAATGACTCGTCCAATGCTACCCGCTGAAATCGTACAGTACGCTCCGGTATTGACGGCAATCGTGTGATAGTTGCCGACCGATTCACCGATGCTGAACCTGGCGGTGGTCGCTGTGATTGGCCATCGGCTACGGCACTGCCATTTGCTTCGCGTAAGGACTGTACCGACGATAGGGTGGGTCCTTCATGTAATGTAATTGTTATAAGACGTAAAGTTTTCATAATAATATTACAATTAATATAAAAAACAATTTAACAGTGATTTCACGGAAACAAAATTTTATATCAAAACACAATATTCAACAATTTTTTTTTTAAATTTTAGTTAATTATCCATTGATAACATTTAATTCGAGGTAAAAATTATAGTTATTTTTTATTTATATCAAATTCTATAAGAAACAGTATATTATTGAATAATTTATTATAATTATTATTATTAAAACAGTTATCTCACTCTTTATCTCTCTTTCTTTAAATGATAATTATTAACAATTTTGAGGGACAATTATACATTTGGTTATTATTATTATTATTATTTTTACATTATATTGCTATTAACCGCGAAAAATATGTCAAAAATGTTAGTTATATACAAAAACAATATCACAAAAATCACTAATTATTTTTTGAGGACAAAGTCATTCACTCGAATCATTCAGTCTTAGTATTATTATTAGTATTATTATAACTATTTATAATTATATATTTTTCAAAATAATTTATAATTTTTATTTCATTAGTATTTAGGGTTAAACATATCGTTAATTATGCATAAAATACATAATTTATTTGTGGGCAGAAATTAATTGTCGAGAAATTTATTGAAATAATAACTTATTTAATGTCAAATTTCTCGGAAAAAATAATATATTCAAATTGAAATTCATTGATAAAAAATATATTTTTCATTCACCGGTTTTATTTCATTATAAAAATAGATAATATATAAATACAAATACAAATTTATAAACAAATAAATATATATATATATTCAATTAATCAATAAATTCAAAATAATTAATATATTTTCTGTATTATCATTCACTGATTTGAAAACCAATATCAAAATTTTCATATACGGTAAAAATAAAAATAATAAATTATATATTATATTATATATATATATAAACACAACACTAAAATATCAATAAACTATTTAAACAAAAACAAAATTCAATTGACAACACAATAACCAACAAACAAGTTGTTTGACTGATGCGTCCAAAAAGGGATTTTATTTATTTGACTTTTAAAAACACAAAAGCAAGTTATCAATAATAAAATATATTTCCAGTTTTTTTTGTGTGTTTACTATACTATCTAATTATATACTAATACAGTAAATGAATAACAATACAGATATTTCAAAATTACTTTAAAATAAATTTAATTTAAAGCAATTATAGACTAAATAAATAGTACGAAATATTTGATAATAATTGCATAACACACATAAAATAAATAATATCATTACATCACTAGTGTATAGACTAATAGAAATTTAAATAATGATATAATTTAAATAAATAAAAATTGAGAAAGATTTTGAAATACTGATTAATGATTAATAAATAACAATAAAAATAATGAGATATAATTTATAAAACACTTTTATGACTTCATAAGGAAATGGGAGGTATATATGAGTCTATATATGAAATTTCATTATGAATGATAAAAGTGAGATATTTTAGAGAGAAAGAGAGTGAGAGAGCCTTATTGAGAGAGCAATGATATGTCAATGACTTTCACGACTATTACACACACAAACTAGACATATGTTTTTAATGAATCAAATGTAAAGATATATACTGTATATATACAGTATTTAATATATAATAAAACATATTTATGATTAAAAAACAGACTCAAACATACAAAAAAAATCTATTTAATACAGTACAATATATAACAATATAATATATCATAAATTCAATTTGTAAAACACAATTTGTGGCCACAATTTGGGTTTAAGTAAGTGTATGTGTGTGGGGTTAACAGTCAATCACTGTATACTACAATTATAAGATCTAAACAATTGACAACAGTATATAATTTGAAAAAATAGATGATAGACTTTTTTGATATTAGAAAAAAATGCAAAATTAAAATTATTGGTTAAAAGAAAAACTGTTACAAATCAATGAATTTTACAACAAAAATAATCATTTTTTTCTAGAATAGACACAAATATAAGATACTGCATAAAGTTTATACTACTGTATAAACTATTATCTAATAAATATATGAAATTTTATTAACTTAACTAAATAATAATTTTGTATCTGAATAATACTTGCAAAAAAAGCATGCAATTAAATAAACATTTCAAAACATAACTACATATAATAAGATGACTATAATATCTATTATAACAATGAGATGATTAAACTTTTAAAAATATTTCATGTGATATCATGTGATTATTACAATAGTTTGTTTCAAGATATTAAATTTTTTTTAAATCATAACAATGAAAATTTATTTGTTAAAAAAGCCAATGATATTTCCACATTACACACACATACATATATATATATACAAACACACACATAATTAACTTATACAATAATATTACGAGACACACACACACAACTAATTTAAGTGTTATTGAATTTTTGGTAAAAACTTTTTTCTAAACTAAAGTCATTAACACCTATGAAGTAAATGTATAGTTGAAAATCAGGAAAATAAAAACAATATAAAATTGTATGTAAAAGTAAACTTTTTACTATTAATAATTTTTTATGAATTAAAAAAAGTTAATATAATAATATAATTAATTTAAGTCAATTAAAAAACAGATATAAACAACAAAAATATTGTTTTTTTATCTAATTTCAATACATTTGGAGGTGTATTATAGTTGTATGTGTAAAATGATAGTTATGTGGGAGGATTTTTCTCTAAAGTGTCATAAATTTTCATGTAATGAAATAATAAAATAAATCAAGTTTTGGTGTTTAAAAATAAAAAAAAACAATTTTTTTCAACAAAAATCATATTAAAGTAAAAGTTATAAAAGTATCAGAAAACATAGTACAACAACAAAATACAATTAACAAAAAATATTAATGAATGAAATTTTTTGTTGTTTCAGAGACAACAAAAACTACAAATCAATAACCGGTTAATGAAAACTTTGGGGAAAACAGAGCTTTTGTACACAAAAAATAAATAAATAAAAAGTTATAAAACTTTCAAATATATATAAATAACTTTTTTCTCATCTGTTTTTTTCCATCATCACTGATGTACGAAAAAATATAGTTTTATTTATTTCTTATGGAAAAAAACTTTATTTTCTTTTTAGTTTTAATTTTTTCATTTCAGAAATCAATGACTGATTTAATTCATCCCAATCTTTAATGATTTATTATATTATAGTTTTTTATATCACATTAAAAAACTGAAAATATATTAAAGATATATACAAAAAATTTGCTGATTTTTCACTTAATTTACAAATAAATAAAACAAAATAAAAAATTATTTTCTCTAACCTATAGATATAGTTCTTCTGTGATTCTTCTGTTGGCCAACCCTTTCAAGACGTCTGTGACTCACTTCTGGTGCCGTCGTCGACATTACACTGTCATTGTCGGTACCGGTGGCTAATTGTTGACCAGAGTTGTTATGATTATTAGGAAACTGGTGATCGTGTGCTAACTGTCCATTTGTTTGTTGCTCAGGCATTATAGCAACGGTCGTCACATCAGCTGATTGTTGTTGAGTAATAGGAACTGTAGTCCGTTGTTTTGGTGGTGGTGGTGGTGGTGGCACTGGGCTACCGGCTACCGATCCACTGTTGCTACTATTACTACTACTACCACTATTAATGGACTGAGTATTTGAGTCAATGGTTTGTTTAACAATACCACTGGTCGATGCAATAGTCGCACAGTTAGCTATATCTATAGTTTCACTATTATTTTTATCACTATTTTCTATATCACTAGTTGTAAAAACAGCAGATGACTGTATATGAGTGTGTCTTAACTGTTCGCTGAGCTCACCATCATTATCAACATCTCTGTCCTCATTATCATAATTGCAACTCTGGTTTTCTTCTACATCTTCGTCGTCCTCTTGTCGGCGATCTATCTGTCTATTTGTCTCTTCTTCTTCAGCTTCGGGACTACCGCTCAGTGTTGTCTCTTCTTCGCACTCGTAGTCAATCTGATCCCTGTCCTCTTCTTCCTCATCAATGTTATATTCATCAACAGCACTGTTTACAACATTTCTGTCCTCGTTGTTGTCATCATCATAATCATCGTCATCACCACAATCAACATCATGAGCACTGCACTGGGATTGCTGTCGATTAGGTATCGGTGGCCGATCATCAAAACTGTTTCCGTTTAATGTAAACTATAATCACAAATAAAATTAATTAATAAAAACAAAAAATTACAAGTAAAATATATGTCAAACATATAATTTAATCAACAAATAAACAAAAAGTGTTATTTATTTTACTAAATATATATATATATATTATATGAGTATAAAGTAAATATTTTTACAAAAAAAATTATTATTATTTCCTTATAATTCCTAATGAAAACAATAATCAATGAGAATTTAGGTCTAAAAATAAAAGTGATTTTATTTTATGATATTATTAATAAAAACATTATTTTATGGAAACTAAATATACTGTAAGTAATTTTGCGATACATTTAATATTTGATACATTAATTCCTGTGTTTGTTTAACATTGATTACACAAACATATAGTTATTGTCGATTTGGGATTTGATATATCAAATAATGTGATACAAATCATACAATTATATACAGCAGTACATAAAATTTATATTCAAGTATATTATATTTATAGCCCTTAAGGCACACACACACCGACAATAAACAAGACAACAGTACCTTTCACTGGTATTTCATTTAGTGTTAAAATTTATGTCTAAATTTACAATACAATAATAAAATCAATAACAATAATAATAGTTAAACCGGTAATTGAAAAAATAATTTAACGGGGTTTCTACTCTAAATGCCCGTAAGTGTTTGTTCTGATACTACATTACTAAAAAATATAAATAAATAAATCATATGAAAATTATTTTTTGTTATTTAGTTAATTAAATCTTAATTTTATCTATCAAACAATTAGATGTTTATATTGATGACTACTGGTCAGTACATTATAATATTAGCGGCTATTAGTAAACTAAAAAGCCGTGAAATATTGTACCCACCGTTATCTAACCCGGTGTACGCTTCGAAACCTAAACCCAATTAAATTGAAATATACACACATCTAATAAATTAATAAACATAATTTTAATTATAAAACTAAGCCTAAATTAAGTAACAAAAAAATAGGTTAAGATATATGACTTATTTGTTGTTATTTTCAGTAACGTTGTAACAGAATAGACAGTTACGGGTCTTAAAGTGAAGAACAGCCAATTTAACTGATTATCACATCTTTGATATAATTTTACCAAAAAATCTAAATAACTGTATTATAGCTGAATAAAAGCGGGTGAGTGATTGAATCACTTATGTAAGAGTGGGTGAAATTAATGCAAAAAATATAAATGTTTTTTGTACATAAAAATAATTATTATAAAATATTAATAAATTAAGTTTTCAACGATATTTTACTTGAAGTTTTTTTTTTGTTGCTAATATAACATAACAATTACCGGTAATTAAATACAATACACAAATACAGAGCCTATAAATAACTATTTAATATTTAACTAAAAATGTTAATTACTTCATATAATTATTTATATATTACGGTAATTATAATTTTTTTAAAAATACCTCCGATTCAGACACAAAACTTGGCGGCACGTCATTGATCTCTCTGTCTTCATCCTCTACCTCTTCATCTCTGTCCTCATTGCGTCTACCGTTATAGACACCGATATCACTATCATTGTCACTGCCATCAGATCTGTGTCCATCAACACCATTATCACAATCTCGTGTACCACTCGTATAACAATTATGTTGTCCTCTGTCTTCATCGAATTGTCGCTGATTGTCGTCGTCAGATCCCACGGCAGATGACCGTTCGCTATTAGAATAATTATCGCCCGATTGCTGGCCTCCTTCATAAGCATCGGCTGATGAATTGGTGGCCACTTCGTGGTCAGGAGTGGCCAATGGTGCCAACATTAACGACTGTGACAGTCTTTTAGGCTGAACAGTGTTATCGACGGTAGTGTTATTAGAAACGATACAATTGGTTGACAATTGTATCGGTCTATTCATGCGGTGCCTTACAGGTGGTGTCGGTGGAGGTGAGTTGTCTTCATTGTTGTCACAATTAATAGAGACCATTGAGTCCCGTCCTCTAACACTGGCAACCGGTGTACAACCACTGGTGACGGGCGGCGGCAAGTGATTTAAACTGCCATTACTTGAACTTCGAGTGCTATTCGAGCTACTGGTGCTCGTACTGCTACTACTGCCTGTTAAGTCCAGACTGTTTGCAACCATTCGTTCCAGAGGTTTGTGGTGTGTCTGTTGTTGAGGCAATGATTGCTGTGTTCGCAACCGATTTGGAGTATTGTTAACTACTGCCGAATGTCCTGAACTGTTAGGTGTTGATAATGGAGCTGTGGTTCCGGTAGGCAGTGAAACACTGGACGCTACGGTAGGAGCAAAAATTTTCCGCAGCTTCTGCTTCGGCGGAAGTGGTGGAGGAATGTCGGACATCGGGTTTACATACATTAGGTTGACCTGCGGTGATGTAGAGGTCGTAATAGTGTTCGCTATTGACTGACTGCCGGTGCCATTTCCAGTCGTGGGCACAGTTAACACGTATTCAATATTCGTAAAGTTATGACCAACACTGGAACTGCTGGCTGTCGTTGTCATCACCGACGATGAAGACGCGGGACTAGCCGTGTGGCCGCCGATAGCTATTTTAGAAGTACTGGTAGGTGTAATCACAACCGATGCCGCCGACTGCGGGTTAACCAACAGTCCGTTTGTCAGATTTATGGTCGTCTTTGTTAGCGACGGATTAAGTGGTAGATGACCTGTTGCGGCCATCGGGTGATGCAATGGTGGCGGATGATTGGGCGGTGATGACGGCCGATGGTATTTACTATGACTTTGACCACCGTTGCTATGCTGTCCGCCACCGCAGCCAATCGATATGTGATAGTCACCGCTGTTTTGGCCGCTGTTTATCGAATTGTTGTTATTGTTGACATACTTTTGACCGCCCAATCGGTGACCACTTTTTGATGAGGACTTCTTTTTAAACATATTAAGCATTTCCTAAATAGTTAGGACTTTCCTAATGTTATAAAATTTACGTCTAATCAAACAGTATATACATTATTATTATTATTATTATTATTATTAGGATTAAAATTATAAGAATATATCATATATGATATATAACTTTATTATATTATTATTTGTTAATTTAAATTAATTTAAAATAGTTTTTTTATTAATAAAAATTTGTAGTTTGTTTTCAACAATTATTGATTTTTTTTGATTTGTAATTAATTTCAAGTTAATTACATAATAATAAAATTACATTATTTGATCAATTTATGGATACTATAGATGTATATATAATATCATATATCGTATTATTTTTTAATCAAATGACGAATTGTTTGCTTATATAACTAATAATATTTATAAATAAAATCATTAGTTTATTAATTTAATGATAATTATATATATATGTGATATATTGGATAATAATATATTGAAATCACATTATTTTTTTTATTAAACGATAACACAATTATCATATAGCGGTTATAACAGTAAGTTATATTATAACGTAAATGTCATTTAAAATAAACAAACAGAAAATAAATCTATTTTCATCACTATTATGTTATTATATCATATATTTAAATTAGCTAGTTAAAATAATAAAATTTTATATAAATTCAAAAATTATAAATATTAAACAGTATATACAAATTTCTAATAGATGAACAAATAATTGTTAACTCTATATATATATATAATTAAAGCAACAATTGTCAAAACAAAAATTAATTTATATTATTATTATTATTTGTTGACACATAGTAAGAAATTTTTTTTAATTATTTAGTTATCATAATTGTTGCATGATAACTAATATTTATAGTTCATAGAACTTATACAGTATAGTCATATATATAAATATATAAATTTTTAGCTAACATGGTCACTTTAAATAAGCTTTAAGATAAAATTGATGCAGGATACATTTTTAATTATTAGTAAATTGAATCTAGCTCACATACACACACATCAACAACAATAATAATAATAATAAGCTAGAGTGAGTTAATTGAAATACATGATCAACACATAAATATATTCAGTATATACACAATAAACATAACATTATTATTATTATTTATATACATTTACAGTCAAAATTGTCTATTTTATCCATAAATAACGTCCAAAAATATTATTGTTATCTATAGTCACAAATTTAAATCAAACTGTACTAATAATTCATATGATAAATATGTAATAATAGTTTATTTTTTAAAATTATTAATACCCACCCAATTCAAACATTTAGTAAACGTAGTTAATGTACATATTTATACATATATTGTATAATACAATCATTTATTAATATTTTTGTCTGACTTTTGAAACCTACTGTTACTCTATCTGTACAATAAAAATGCAAACATTGAGCGTAAACACAACAATCAATTATTTGTGGTCTCTCTCTCTCTCTCTCTCTCTCTCTCTCTGTATATGATATATACAGTATATGTGACGTCACTCTAGTTTCCTATTATTTTATTAATAAATACATTACTATACACTGTGTGTATAGTCGTCGTTGTCGTTGTCATTGTAATATCACTACAACCTTATCGTATAGTTTTCAACAAACATTTCTATTACAGTAATCACTAAACACTGACTGTATGTGTGTTTGTGTTGTGTATTATACACTGTATTATACGTTGAAAATTAATTTCCATTATTATTGAAAAGAAAAAAAAACCAAACATTTATTGTTATTATTATTATTTTCCCATTTATTTAATTAAATTATTATATATTTTTTCATATGTTATATCAATGTCAATGTTTGTTGTATTATTGAATTACATTGTATTTAATATATGATACATGTATTTGTCTCGCAAAACACATACACAAACTAATTGCTTAAATGAAATACTCTATTAATTAATTAATTAATAATTAGTGATTTTAGTTAATATTATTATTATTTTTCCATCTAATGTGTATCAAACATAACATCATAACTATTGAGTTATTATAAGTTTTTAAAATATTTATATATTAATAGTGTGTATATTTTTGTTGTTGTTGTTAATAATAATAATAATAATAAAATAATCCTAGGTCAATAATAAACAAAAATATGGGTTTATTATTTTCACGATTGTGGAGCTATTTTACTCATGAAGGTAATTATAGTATTATTTAATTTTTTAATATGTTAATTAATTAAAAATATCTACTTGATCATTTTATAAAAAACCCACACTATTGAAAAATAATTAGTTGAATTAATATTTACTGTATATGATATATATTATCGCTTAAATTTTAAAATTATATATCTCCATTTTATATTTTAATTAATTTATTTTTAATAAACAATATTAAAAATGACTAAACTATCATGTTTCTTTTTTTTAATTAAATTAATAAAATAGAACACAAATTAGTGATCATAGGTCTGGACAATGCAGGAAAAACAACTATATTATATCAATTGTAAGTAAAAAAATTTTTGTAATAAAATTAAATTTTAATTATTGTTAATATGATATCATAAATATATATTATTATTATAAGATTGTGTGTGTTTTTTTAAAAAATATTGCTTTTAATTGTAATAAATATCTGATTACTCTATTTATTACTTTTAATACTATTACTACCCCAACATTATTGACATACATTTTTTACCATAAATATAAAAACAAGACTCACGAGACAATTATCATATTATATATATATATGTATATCCTATTAGACTAATAATGTAGTTCACGATTAGTGGTTGTATGTGTGTGTGTATGTTTGGATACCTGATCGACCCGTAACCCTAACCCTAATTTTATTATACTATGTATGTGTAGTACAGTATAATATAGCACACACTTAACTGCTGTATAAGACTTTAATTATGAAATACACTAAAAAAAATTATTATTTTTTAATATCTATCTATATCTCGAATGTTATTATAGTCTTATGGAAGAAGTGGTTCATACATCGCCAACACTGGGATCCAATGTCGAAGAAGTTGTCTGGAAGAACATACACTTTGTTATGTGGGATATCGGCGGCCAGGAGTCCATCAGACAGGGCTGGCAAACATACTACGCAAACACGGAATTTATTATACTTGTTGTCGACAGTACTGACAGAGAGAGGATAGGCATCAGTAAGGAAGAGCTGTGGAAAATGTTGGCCCACGAAGATCTACGAAAGGCTGGTGTACTCATCTATGCCAACAAACAGGACGTCAAAGACTGTATGACTGCCGCACAGATATCCAAAGAGCTTAATCTGACGGCCATTAAGAAACATAAGTGGCAAATACAGGCCTGTTGTGCCCTTACTGGAGAAGGGTATGTCGTGTTTAGTTATAATTAACATTATTATTAATATTATTATTATTACCGGTAAGCTATTACTGAGTTATATAATAATTTAAAGAAAGAGATAGAGAGAGAAATGTCTATTTTCTGAAACATATGAATAGTTTTTTTTAAATATATATATAAATGAAGATTTGATTATGTGATTGAAAATTTAATTTTTTCTCAAACGAGTTTTATTTTTATTAAATATAATTATATATTTCCACGATTTTTTTTTAATATAACAATTTAACTTTACAATAATCATATATTTCATTGCATTTATTTGATGCAACTTTCAGTATGAGTTAATTTTTGTTGTTGTTGTTTAAGTGCTGACTAGTCATCAAAATTTATTTGTTTGATTAAAAAAATATTATTAGGAAGTGTAGTGATTGTGTTGTGTTTATTTCCGATCACTAACACCAAAAAAAATTATATATTTTTTAGTTTTTTCGACACTATTTTATCAATTTAATTGTTTCATAGTATTGTATTAATAGATATAAAAAATATTTTCAATTATTCGGTATAATATACTTTATATACATTTTTATGTAAATTCTTTTGTAAAATGTTGTAATTTTAATAATGATTATTCATTTTCTAATTATTATTTTTTTTTAAATTTAATAGTAATGATATTACAAATTCATTTTTGTTGAGATATATTATAACTTATTACATTATTTTATTAATAATAAATTATTATAGTATATAAAAATTTTATTTTATCATAATAAGTAACTTTAATAGTAAATCAATAATTTATTTTCATAATTATTACTATAAATGTTATTTAGGTGCATTTTAATACATTTATATTAGTTTAGGTTCAATATAATTTTATTAAATTTAATGTGATATTCAAAATATGATACAAATTTAGTTTATTTAGTTAGCAATTTTGGATAAGTTTTATTTACTTTTAATTTATAATATAATTATAGATACAATATATATTTTATCTATAAATTACTGTATAAATATTTGCTTTTACAGTAATTTTTTAATCACATGTTTTAATTTCCACAATTATGAAACACAAACGAATGAATTTTTTTTAACAAATTTTTTAAACAAGTTTTTTGGAGATAATTTTGAAGGCAATCATCATATTGTATGTTTGTTTGGCATTTAATCAATTCATTCAATTAACTTTATATGTTTTTGTAATACATTTTTAGTTAATTAGTGTTTAATAATTGTTATTATTAAAATTTAATAATAATTAGTTTTTTCAGTATATTTTTAAAAACTAATATTTAAATTAAGTTTCTATTTTATAATAAAGCATTTGTTTTTTAGACTTTGAATGAATTTGTTATACTTTTATAAAAATATATGGTATTATTTTTTATAGTTATTTATCAGTTATTATTATTTTATAGTTTTAATTGTATTGACACCCAATAGACCTTCAAATCTGGTTAACCCAAACACACATTTTTTTTGTACTTTTATATTGACATTAATTTTATCATTTTATTACAATTTTTATTTTATTATTACTATCACAGACTATATCAAGGCTTAGAGTGGATCGTATCGCAGCTGAAGAGTCGATAACTACCAGTGCTCTTATGTGACTCCAATTAATTAATTTTTAATGCCATTTAATATCATATCGACGACTACGAGGCGACCACAATGACAGCTACACACACACAATAAATGTGTATTAAATATATGATTGTAATGGGTTTTATATTAGATATATATTATATATATATAAGGAAAGGGAGTTCAACTAAGAGACCAATATTTTTAATTGAATCACAAATAACTCAGTGATTATTGTAAATGATAGTCGTTTTATTATTAAATACAATTTTCTATTTATTATATTATATTTAATAATATCTATAAATCCATATATAAATAGAAAAGATGTTTTATTATTATTATTATTATTAAAAAGTTAATATTGATGTTTTTATATTGTATATATTATATACACACACATCTATATTGTATATAAAACAATTATAAGTTCATAACATTAACTCTTTTTTTAAAAATGGTTATACTAATTCAATTCATTAAATTCATTATTATTATTATATTATAAAATTATGACTATATTTTTTATTACTGTGTAAAAAATGTTTGCCAAATATTGTCAATTAGTTTATGAAATATATTTAAAGAAAACAAGTGTTAATGTTTTTTAATGCTCATTATGACAATAATATCAATTAATAAAATTATTTGACAATATCTGTGATATAATGGTTTTAAAACATCAATGTTTTTTCTATGTATTAATTGAAAAAACTTATTGTACAACAAATTGTGTTAATTTATTAACTAACTAAATAAATAACATTTTTATTTGATAAAATACAGTATAACTTAGATTATAAAATTTTAAAAAATTGAACTTTATTATCATTATATAAATAAAAGTAGTAATATTTAAATTATTTAAAAAATATTGTTTAACAATTATGTACAAACATGTGAATTGAAATTGATAAATTTTAAATTTCTATTTATAGATATTAATTAACAAGTATTGATAAATTGAAAAAAGAGACAAATATGTTTTCATATTTAAATTTATGAGATTATAATAAAAGTTATTTTATCAACACTTATAAAATGTTTTTTTTAAATTTAAATCCATGTTAAGTTTTGAACTTTTATAATTTTTAAATTTATGGTAATTTTACATAATTTTAAAAACAATAGTTTTTATTATTTGTGATCTCTTTTTAAATGTTTGGTTAAATTTTCTTTACGTTTATATCTTTGACGACAACCTTTGACCTGACATATGTGTGGTCTTTCTCCAGTATGTTTGAACCGGTGTTTCGTCAAATGCGAGTTATCTGAAAACGATTTGTTGCAACCATTGTACTCACATTTGAACGCCAATTGCCGTAAATGTACTTTACGTTTGTGTCGATTTAGGTGATAGTTGTGAACAAATTGTTTGTCGCAACTTTTGTAATTGCATTTGAATTTAGGTTTCATTGATTTTTGTTGTCGCTGTTGTTGAAGTTTGTCACACTCATTGTCATCGCATTTAGTTTTACATAATTTAATTAAATTAATAGTGCAATCAAAATTGTATCCGACAATATTATTTTTATGCATTTTTATCATTTTATTATCCAAACGCTTTGACAAACATTTCAAATAAATTAACTTTTTAAAACTTACTTTTAACTCATTTTGCATAATTATATTATAATTATACTATTTTTTAGTAGATTTAAGTTATATATTGTTATATATTTAAACATCTAAATTTACTGTATATTATTATTGTGTTCATTGACTTATTAACTAAACAAACAAAAACCGTTACAAATATCATGGCTGGTCTTAACTGTTATCACATGTTTTCCTCAATTGCTTATTATATTACTTGGACCTTGGAGCCAGTCTAAAATTGCAAAATAGGATTTACACATAAAACACACATACATATCAAATAAAATGCATTTTGAGAGCGAGAGAGAGAGAAAAAAAGGATATACAAAATTATAAATATATAAATAATAATAAAAAATAGTTTTTATTAATATAATTTAGTAATTCATTACTTTATTATGGTTTTAAAAATATTGTAACCAAATTTATTAAATAATTTTATAGTTATTAAAAAAATATTATACAAATTTTAATTATATAAATCTAATAAATATTTAATTATTTATATTAAAGGAAAATGATTGATATAAAAATTAGTTAGAAAAATATATATAATTATTAAAAATTTTATAATAAACACTAATATAAATAAATTTTTGAATATTCTCGCAAAATATTTGTAAAATTTATATTATTTTTAAAAATATTATTTTTGTCTTTCACGTAAGATCTCATAAATTAATATATTATATATTATACTCATTTTTATAGATTTTGCATATCATTGTTCAGTAAATAAATATATGAATAGTTTGAATAGCATATAAAATATGAAATAAATTAATAAAAATACAATAAAAAACAACACTAAGATATTTTATATATTACTATATGACAATAATTTTATTTAAACAGTAAAATACAGTACAATACAAAAATATTTTTTACAATTTAAATAAAAATGTTAAAATCTAATATATATATTACAGTATATTCTAATAATTTTTTACATTAAGTAGATTAGAATAGAAATAAAATTGATGTATTTATTATGATTTTTAGTAAGTCATAAAAATATTAGCACTTAATTTATTGTCAAATATGTTTTGTCATTATATTAATATTACTTATGAAAATATTTAATTATAGTTAAATTTTATTTTATAAAGTGATTAATAAAAATATAAAATAATACATATATTTTACTATACTATTATAAAATATATTATATTTTTATAAAAAATATAAATAAAAAAATTATAAACTAAAATATTTAAGTAAAGTTATTTTTGCAATTTAATAAATTTTGTGTATTATATTTAAAAAATTAATTATTGATTTTTATTAAAATAATTTCCAAATTTGACTTATTACTAACAATATGTTAGTCTAATTATAAAGCTATTTCAAAATATTGATATAATTATATATGTTTTTATGTTATGAATCATAGGGACTCTAGTTATGATTACTTAAACATTTTGCTTTAAAAACCTATAACTTATACTTAAGTTATAATAAAATTAGATCAGTATATAAATATAAATAGAATTACTATGGATACAGAATAAAATTATTATTAACATAACATTATTTTATTTTTTACAAAATTTTGATGAAAAAATATATACAATAATTAACTATTAGAGTAAATTTTTGAAATTATAAAATAATAATAATACTAATCAAAAATAAATTAGAATAAATACTTTAAAAATTATTATTATTTTTAATATCCTTAACTATATTGCAATTAATTATGTACTTAATTATGTAACTTAATTGTAATAATATTTATAGTTAACAAAAAAATAATATAGAAAATAATGAATTTATGGTTCATATTTTGGTCGGCTATTTATGATAAACTCTGGTCACTGTGGAAATGGACGGCCCATAAGTGCACCGGTAATTGTGAAATACAACGTCTGTGTTGTTCGTCCAATAATACCGGTGCCGAACGATCCAAAGCTATTGGTAACGCATATTACTATTTAATTGTTGTACAAATTAATTATTAATTAATAATAATACTAATAATTATTATATTAAAGAATATTCAATAGTTAAAAGCAAATCTCAAGTATTGAAGAAAATGAATGCCGAGTTAAGCCGTTTGGCGGACAGTCAACTGTTGACCAATAAGTGGATACTGTTTGAAAAGTATATCGACGAAACAGTTGTACTCAAAGAGATCGATACTAAAACACATGTCGAGTAAGTGGACAGTCGTGTGAATTATAATTTATTAATCAATTAGTTTATGTAACTCAACACCGCATACACACATACAGTAGTTATCATCAGTTAATCAATAATATTAAATCAGATAATATATCAATTGATTACAGACATAGAAACTTACTCTTAATTTTGTAGGTCATATCAGGTCAAGTAAATTGTATGGTTTAAGTCGGATCAGGTATGGCTTCAGAAACATTATTATTTAGATTAGATCTGGAAAAATGTTTCATTTTAATCAAACATAAGCTTAAAATAAAAATATATTAAATTAATATTAGATATGATAAGCAATAACATATTAATTATATATTAATTATATTAATTATAATAGTATATTTAATCAATACTATTCATTCATTCAATATCAATAGTATACTAATTTAATATTATATGAATTTGATTTACTGTCAGTGATATAGTATTAAATTGATATACATTTTATTTTAACAATTTTGTTTATACAGTATTAAATTATTAAAATTTATAATTTATAAAATTATAATATTAATATATTAATATTATTTAATATATATATATATTGTTTATTTAACTATACTATAATATTTATGTTGTCCTCTAATCTAAACAGTTTTATACCGGCATATCGTATATGTTTAGTACACATCTACGGCTATAAGCAATTGATTCGTCAGATTCATAATATGCGGTCCATTATCTGCGACCCGCGTAACAGCGCTCACCAAAAAATGCTTCAAAACCTGTGGTCACAGCTTATGGACGAACCGTTGAGTGGTGTCCACAGCAAACAATGGCAGGACATCGGCTTTCAGGGACCCGATCCTAGTCTCGATTTACGGTCAATGGGTTTGTTAGCGTTGGACAACCTGTTGTTTTTTGTTACCGTCTATCGAGAGATGGCTCGCAATACACTACAACATTCATTGCATCCGACACAGGGGTAAATCAAACCCTCATTAGTACCCAATTATTTGATATTTGTATCTTAAATAGCTATCCGTTTGCTTGGGTTGGCATCAATTTGACTCAATTGGTACTTAAGTTATTATTGGACGGACACTTGAAAACACATTTTTACAATTGTTTTCAGCGTATCTTCAAAATTGAAGATTTTCACAAAGTTTACAGTAAGAAATTAATCAAATATCAAATTATGTATTATTGCAAAAATAATTTCAAAATTTATATTTAAAAAAAAAAATTAGGCTATTTATACACCAAATTTGATAAACTATGGATTGATAAGACTCAGGAATCGGAGCAAAATTTCTATTACATTATCAGTCAATTTGAGAGCCAACTGACCGAACAGTTGGCCGACGATAAGACTGTCCTCAGTTGGGAGGCATCACAGTCTCGTCCGGTTGTTGAGACAAAACTGTGGTAAAATTGTTATGTATTTTCTTGATTATATCATTTTTTATTTAATAGTAAATCATCTATTGTTAAACTATACTATTGTATACTACACTATCAGTTTATTAGGCTAATTATAATTTTATTTATTTAGTAAAAATTGTATTTGATGTTAATAAAATAATTGTAATAAATTGTACATGTACATATAAATTTATATATATACTGTAATTCAAATTTGTCTATACATGTATGAAACCTATCAACAAAAACAAAAATACTGTATTACTTGACCCATAACTTTATCACATTTAAACAATCATTTATTTCTCCACCAAAAAAATGTGCTTAATTTTCGCATAAGTATTGTTTCATTATATAATATATATATATATATATATATCTTTATTTTAATTATATATATATACAGATACTGTCCAACTGTTAAACTATTGAACTCTCAAACAAACAACATTATACCACTACTTTATATACAATGTAAAGTGTATATAACATCTCAATGTTTTTTTTTGTTGAGCACCTGTAGTCAGAGTAGACGACATAACCGATCGATATAATCAATTATTGTTAAGTAGTGACATATGATGTCGACCAATAAATAAATCCCAATTGACATCAATTTAATAAATCTTAATTTCGATCAATTAGAGTGACTGTATATATTAGTGTTGGCAAAAAAAGAGTAATTTTTTCAAATAATAAAGAAATTTCTAGAAATTTTTTAAAAGGAATTTTCTGTCTATGGGATCACCATGTTAATTTTGTTATCTCGATATTAGTTATCTTATAACAATAAATTTTGATTAGAAGTAATAGTTAAATATTATTAGTATCAGTATTTTAATTAATAATTAAAGTAAAAATCTTTTTTATTATATTAAACTAAAAATATAATTAATGATTAATAAAATTTTAGAAAACTATAATTTTTTTATATAGGGATTCCATTTGTATGTATATATATATATATAATTTATATATGTATTGTCTCATTAATATATTAAATAATATTACAAATTAACTATAGATATATGTATATCACAGTACAATAATAAATTAAAATTTCTATAGAAATTTATTCTTGACAAATTTACTAGAAATTTCTAGTGTCCATCTCTAACACATTTACTAGACTGTATGGTTAGTCATCTTTTATTATATTATTGAACATCAATATAATTTTATTTTATCAATATCAATATATCAAAATAATTTTATCAAATATAAATTTAACTTCAATTTAATTAATTACTATTAAACTAATATGATATAGTTAATTGTATTTTATTAATTATAAGTACTATTGCATTAAATCATACTTTTTTAGTCTATAAAATTAGATATAAATTATTTAGATATTTACAGCATTTATAAAATTTATTTTTTGTGCGCTCTTGAAAAATATCTTAAAATTAATTATAATAATAACTTTTGAAAAAAAAACTTTTGTGACTTATATGATAACATCATTAATAATTAATTTATGATTAATATACTGTATAGATATTATACTTTATTATATATATGTTAATATAAATAAAGTAGTTATTAATGTAATATACTGTAATTAACTGCAAAACAATTTAATTAGATTTCGACTATGAAGTGATTTGCATTGACTTTCATGTCAACTACAGTGTAAAACATTGAAATAAATAATTAATTAATGTAATTATTATTAATAAAGTAAATTTTGTCAAATATTATTTCAGCTAATCTTAGATAATAATATACATAAAAAAGTTTGCATATAAATTGCGAGACATTCAGTAGTTTTGGACATCTCTTAGACAAAACAAATATATAAAAAATATTTTGTTGTTCAATAGCGACAACATTGCATATAATGTTTAGTAATATAAAAAATATTTCTATAAAATATAATGTAATAAAAGTTTGAGACTATTTATGTTGAAGAAAGTTATTTTTAAAATTATTTTTAAACATTTAAAAAACATGTATTTACTTAAAGCGTTAGCTATTGTAATGAACGTTGTGTCCCATCAAACACCAACACAACAGTTTGGTAATTCAATAACTGGCGAACGGGTAGATCAGCCACTGGTAGTGCCAAAGTCGGACATTGATTACAGTGACTGCGGACAGGAATTTCAATGTTTTGCATTGGACGACATGTCGTGCATAGAGACTGGCGATTGTACTGTACTGTTGAAAACCAAACCCATAGATACTGGTGCTGTATTCAAGTTATATTGGAATCGCGATGAAGGAGTTAACGGCTTTCAGGACACATGGGTTTGGGTGGGACTCTCTGATGACAATCTACTGGGAAATGACTCATTGACAGTGTTTGACATATCAACTGACAATACTGTAATTCAAAGCCAGGGTATGGACACTGTACCGGCGGGTCAGGTATACGATAATAATAATTGGTACTGGCAAGATAATCAATTTATTAGTGACTCACACGCATACTATTATGATGGCCTGTTGGTTGCAAAATGGACATACGATACAGTGACCAAAGTTAATGATAAAATATTTGATTTCGATAACAATGCTTATCATATTGTATTAGCCTATGGTTGGATAGATAAAGAGTCAGGTAAATACATAATTACTTATACATTAATTGTATTTTTTTTGTAAATAATTGTAATGAGTTTTTTTATTACTAATATATTTTGTTATTTTTTAGGTGAGACAAAAATATCCGTTCAAAAAGTGGTATCTGAGCATGGTGTATTATTTAAATAAATCATTGTTTGTAATAAATTATTTCATTTTACAATTAATTGTAGCTTAAATAGATAAAAATATACTGTATATATGTATGTAATTATCATATTAATATTATTCAGTATTAATACATAAATTGTAAATAAAGTTATATATTTTTAAAGTGCTCAATGATAATAAAAATTGTTTTAAAATTTATCAATGGAAAATGTAAACGGAAAACAATAAACAAAAAATACATTTTTAATAAATTATTTTTTTAAAATTTAACCTTTAAAAATAAAAATTAATTTTATATTTAGAATAGAAATACTTTAGAAATATTTGATAACTTTACAGAAAGTCTATTAATCTATTATATTTTACAAACATTAAAAAATATTATTACTGTATATTTGTTGATTTATTCATATTTCTTTACTACTATATATTTTGTAAATCAAAATCATGTGTTTTACTTTAAATTGAGAAATATTGCAAAAAAATTTGTAATTTTTTGCAATAAATTTTTTAAATCAAGTATATTAAATTTATAATTATTATATTTTATTAAGTAATATTAATAAAAAATAAATTACTTAATGACTACTAAATGACTAAACGAGAATTTAAATAGTTAATTTTTATTAATAAAATATACTTATATTATAATTAAATAAAAATATTAAATTATTTATAATATAATTAAATAAAAATATTAAATTATTTATATTGATAATATAATTAAATAAAAATATTAAATTATTTATATAAACTTATTTTTAAAATATATTTATTTAATAATAGTTTTAATAATAATAATATAATATTGTTTAATATTAAAATATTGATAAAAATTGCTGTCAAATTAAAATAAATCTATATATTGTATATAATTTTATATAGATATATAGATAAAATAAAACCATTTAATAAATTATTTCATTTTTCCATCGATTAGTACCAGATATACATATAAAGTTCTCATTATTAAAAATATTAAAAACATATATATTATAAAAATAGTTTTCGTAAAGTATTTCAAAAATGTTTTTGTATAAAATATTATAAAAAGAAAATATGCAATTGTCACCATAAAAAAATTAAAAAAAACAATATTATTAATTGAAGTTAAATTATTTAATCACTCAATCAATCAATTTCTATTGCAAAACATATATATGCCGCACACTAACAGCCCAGTCGAGTAAACAGTATAGTAGTTGTTATATATGCGGCACTCGCCGTCTAACAGGTGTCGACCAACAAATAGATACAATGTTAGTGCCGACATTAGATAGGCTACCGACGCGATTAGCAACATCTTGAACAGCCAGTAGGCTATTTCTATGCGTTGCATACGTTGCCGGGCCTTACCAATGGAGTCGTCCGACTCTTTCAACAGATGACGCCGATTACCAAAATGCGAGTTACGGGCAAATGTATCCCAATTGATGGATGTCATGTCAAAGTTGAACAGTTGTTTCTCATCCGTGTCCAGACATTGGTACAGTTGTAGCAAATTTTGTGACCGAAACATCCACTCGTGTTGTGTAAAGTAATTCATAACGTGCAGCGCGTAATGCATTTTACCCGTCACGCGGACCATACTATTTAACAATACAAACAATGATTAGGCAAATGGATGTTATAAATAATTATTCAAATAATTAGTCAATTGTTATATACATTCTCCTGTGTCCGCATAACATGATTATTAGGTCGAGAAAATAGGCAAACATCCAGTGAGAGAAAAACACTTTCAATGGATTTAGTATAGGATGCGGACCCGTTTGCTTTGGCGGTTTGATAACCGGTCTAACAGCACGTATAGAGGGTGCCTCTTGAGCTCCTTTATAGCCAGATTCAAAAATCTGGCCCCAAGTTATCGGATGAATGTTGCTTGATGTTATGTTATAGATTTTTAAATTGGTTTCACTATACAAACAATTAATAAGATTGCTTAATTTTTAAATTTTAACAAAAAAATAATTATTCAATTAACTAATTATTTACTTAATAATATAGTATAAATATTTCTATAAATAAATTCTGTAATAATTTTTTTGTTAACATTGAAACATTTCTTTTTATAAATAATTAAAAAGTAAATTATTTAACGAATTTCTGATTATTATATTACATTTGTATTGCATGTATTTAACTATTTATTTATTTGTGAAATTTTTTTTGCTCAAATAACAACATACATATAAATTGAATATTATATCAAATACATTATGATTAGTAACTTAATTAACTTTATTTATTAAAAAAAATATATTTTGAAATAAATCTATCTAATTTCAATATATTATCAAATTTATTCAACAAAACTGAAATATACAGTAGAGTTATTTATTAATAAATACTAATAAATATATTGCTTTTGATTATTGGCACTCCATATAAACGTACTTGACATTGAAAATCTTAAATAAACTATAATATATGAAAATTTATTTATTAATATAATAAATATCCTATCTATATATGTCGTTAAAAATTAGTCTCACAATTTGGTGCAAAAATTATTAGGAGTGTATATTTAATAGTAAGAGTGCTAACTGAGATGCTTAAAATAAGTGCTAATAATATATCTTATTTTTTTAAAAATTATTATTATTGCAGTTTATATTTAGTGAAAAAGTTTTATACATGTTTAGTATTAATATAAATAAATTATTGTCAAAATATGTGACATATATTAGAAATATGACATACCTGTGCACTGATCAGTGCTACCTAAAAATGTTTAATTTCAAGTTCATTGTATCCGTAAATTTGTATGTATATTAATAAGTTTGAGAGAGAGAGAGAGAGAGAGAGAGAGAGAGAGAGAGAGAGAGAGAGAGAGAGAGAGAGAGAGAGACTATACAATACACAGCCTGTGCAGCACAGGTATACTATATAGTACTGTGCGATAACTAACTATTAGATTATCTTAAATGATGCCATTTCTCTGTTGATAAAAGGAAATCTTATTAAAATAAATCGTTGTTTGTTATAATAAAATATGCACTCAATCTCAATGTCAATAAGATTTGTCAATAAAATTAATTTCTGCAAAAATATATATTCCGTATTTGTATAAAAACATTTATTTAGATATAAGTATTTATAATTTTTTTTTATAAATATCATAAATATTAAGTGTTTATGATTTATTTAATTTAGGCAAACAAAGAAATTATAATTTCAATAATAATTTTGAATATATTGTTGGTATTAAAAATAAATTTACTAAAATAACTTAACTTAAATACTGTACTTTTTATAATAGCAATGTAAATAAATAAACTAAAAAATAGATAATTAAACTGATATAAATTTTTTTGTTAATTGATAAAATGATAGAAATCTATTGAAGTGTAATATCTTATATAGTAATAGATAAATAATAATAAAAATATTTAAAATAAAATATAATAATTATATGATTAGTATAGTAATAAATAAGAAAAAACATACCGATTCTGTTGGCCAACAGCAGCGCCGACGGCTATCATAGCGTTGGCAACTTTGTCTACCGGCACAAAATCGGTCTTTGCATAGTAGTTCCAATTGACGGCTCTCAATATGCCCAGTGCTCCCAATATACTTATACCCGACGGTCCATTTACATTGTCTATCCAACCGGGTCGGGGCTCTGTGTCCGAGTTGACCACAATAGCCGGTCGGACGACAGCACAGGGCAAGTCCTGACATTCCTGTGCCACTAATTGTTCGGCCAATGCTTTTGTATAGGTATATGTGTTTGGACGGCCTTCCATCAGATGGTGAGATAACTGATCCAATGACGCCGATGGTAACCATCTATAATAATAATAATTAGTTTTATAATCAATCAATCATTTATTGTTTGAAATAATTATTTTAAAATATATAATAATAAAATTATTAAATTATATTATTTTTTTTGTAAAATGAGTAAATATTTTTACAAATATATAAAATAAAATATTTATATCATTTATTGATATGTGATATTGAAATTTTATTAGTTTTTTTTATAGTTAAATACTTTTTATTGCTGTATTTTTGTTGATTTTCCCAGTAATACTGTATTTAGACATTAATTATTGTTATAATTGTTTGTATATATTAAAAGAAATTTTTGTGTGACATTTAAAAGTAATTTTTTTACTTTTTTATTTTATTAACTATTTAGTGATCAATGACTTTCTAAAATAATTTTATTGTTGTTTTATATGTTGTTAATTTTTATTTGCTTTTTTGTGTTAAAAATAAAATAATGTGTATATTATATATAATATATTGTATGTTACTATTATTTTTTTTATTACATTTTTATTCTCAATCTTGATTGTTATCAATTCAGATAATCTTGATTTATATTTTTTGTGTGTTTGTGTAAGCATTTACAGTATTTATGTGTAATATATATAGTTTTTATATATTGTATAAAAATGAATATATTTTAAATACTAAATTGGGGTCAATAGTAAAATTTTATTGACAATACAGTATATGCTATCACTATCTATCAAAATTACTTTGACAAGAAAATCTTAAAACTAAAAAATATGATATTTTTATAAATAAACTAAATATATAATTTATATATATATATATATATATATATATACTAAATATATTGATAGTAAAAATCTAATACAAATTTATAAATTATTTTCAAAAAAATAAAAAAAAGATAACTTTCCATAAAATTTTTATTAATCTTTAAAGACAAATATTATATTCAGAGATTAATATCAATAACAAATATAATTTTTTGTTTCTTTTAACAAATATTGTTTTAAAATCTATTGCATATATAAATATTTAAAAATTATAGACTAAAAATTTTCCAGAAATATTTGAACAAATAAAAAAATTAATGACAATAAATATGACTAACCTTGACATTTGCATTAACTCATGAGCATCGGCTGACACTTTATAGAACTGTTCGTCGATCTCCCGGCGCTGGCAATGGCTATAAGCTGTGGAACAGTGTATAAAACACGACAACTGTTTGATTTGTTTACACAAATTGATGACCTGTTTGGTTGCAAATACATTGTAATCAAGACTTTCTCTGAAGAAGAGAAAAAATACAATAAAATTAAAAAAATAAAAAATTTAGTATTTTTTAAAACTGATAATTAATGGACAGTTAGACAAAAAATACATACTTAAGCGGTGCGTCAAACTTAACACTGGCTGCACAATGAAACACAACGTTAACGTTATCGCAAATGGACTGTAGATCCGAGTCCGAGAAACCAAGTCCTTCACTAGTAATGTCGCCTTCAACTGGTGTCACCTTATTTTTAACGGGATTGTCATCATTGAGTACATAAGTGAACGGTACTGATGACAGCATACTAGACAGTCGTTTATTACTTGACATGTCATACTTGGATCGCATCAATACATATATGTGTTGGACATCAGGACAGGCGGTCAATATTTTCAATAGTATTATCTAAAAAATAAAAATAGTTGACTTATAATTAATAAAATAAGTAATTGATAGTAATATACTTTATAAACTTACTTTTCCTATGAAACCAGACGCTCCAGTAATTAATATTGATTTGTTGGCATAAAAGTCTCTAATTTTGATACTTTCAATATTACCGTTAATCATGATTTTTGTTGTTACTTATGAACAAATGTCAAAACATATAAATAAATATAAAATTATTAAAACACAATATTTCAATAACAAACAAAATCAATATATATTTATATATTGTCTATGCGTTAGCAAAAAAAATAAAACACAGTCACCAAAAAACTAGTATTTAATAGACTATAGACTAATAGAATTATTGAAAAAAGTAATCCAAAAATTTCAAACAGATTTCTATCACAACTATATATATATATATTATAGTATATATATATATATATTTAGTAGATTGACGTCAAACCCATGTGTCTATATATCAGTCAATACAACTGTTAGAAGCTTAGAATATACAATAATATAGTGAAGACTGGGCTAAAAACAGCCAGAAATTTATGTGTATATGAAATCAATAGATATTTAGATAGAGATAGTTTAGAGTGAGAGTAAGTGAAAGAGAGAGAGAGAGAGAGAGAGAGAGAGAGAGAGAGAGAGAGAGAGAGAGAGAGAGAGAGAGAGAGACTGAAAATTCCGGTTAACTTTCTGTATACTATAGTATAGTATATTATTTATATGTTTCACTTATAAAAACTGGTTTTTACATACACATGCAATGCATTGATATTTATTTACTTATTTTTTTAAAAAGATAATTATAATATTATGACTGTACTGTTTAGTCTGTAATTCTTTTTGTTATAAATGTATTGCCGTTTTGCCGACTGATGTCATGAATTTAATTTAATTTATATAAAAATATTTATAAAAATTCCGTAATTCTATAAAATATATGTTTTTTATTTTGAAAAATTTAGTTTCCAAAACATTCAAGAATTTAGATTTTTTTTATTTAAAATTCAAATTATTAAATGCTTAAACAAACAAATTCAATATAAATGTTTTATCAATCATAGAATTATCTATTGATTCAAATCAAGTTTTACTATTATTCAACCAATATATTCAATTTATTGTAAATATCTATTTTAAAATAACAAATTCTAATAAAATACATTGCTAGACATCTACTTAATATTAATCTTATATTTAAGTTTGTTTAACAATATAACTTTTAAGTTAAAGTTTAAATTTCAAATTTAATTTTATAATTTTAGAATATTAAGTTTTTAGAATTAATTTTATTGAGATTTTTAGATTTTTAGGTGATTGACCAAAAAAAGATTTTTATTTTACTTCTAATTTTTAATTTTATTTAAACTAATTTTTTTATATGTTAATGAGTAATTTATTAATTTTGGTTTTAAACCATAAAACTTGACAAGTTAAATTTTCTTATAATTTCATGAATTATTTATATTAATTTATCTAGCAATATTTAATTTATTTAATAAATAATGAAATATTTTAAAGGTTATCAAAAGATTTTTTTTAAATCAAAATTTTTAAATGTTCAGGGCAATTTTTGGTTTTATTTATTGTACTTAATTAATACAGTACTTTGCAAACATTTAAGTGCAATAATCTTTAAGTAATTATGTAAATAATAAGTAATGCATTCAAAAATAAAAACAATTAAACTTTGAATTATAAATGTCAGTTGAATCGTTAAAATAAATGTAAAAAAACAAATAATAGAAATTAAAATATATAATTTAAATTTGTTAATTTATATGATAATTGACTATTTTTTTTATTTAATTAATTTTAAAGTTGACTAAGTAATAAAAACAAAAATGTTTTCCCAAAATAATGCAATTATCCATGTCATTTATTAAATATTATATTTGAAAATATGTGAAAATAATTTTCTATCTTTTATCATTGTAATTAAATAAAATAAAATTATTCTAAAATTATTATTATTAATCATAATGCTATACGTAAATAACATAATATTTTTATTATATAATTAAAATCAAACAAACAAAAAAATAGTAGTAACTTAATTTGTATAATTGATAAACAATTAAATTAAACTATTATTTATTATATAAATATTTTTTTTATTTAAGAGTTCGAGATAAACAAAATAATTGTTAAATTTAATTAGTGTAAATAATATATTATTTAATCAAATAAATTCTAATTTAATATAATTTAACACAAAATTTTTTTAAACAAAATTTAATGTATTGTAATTAAACTAATGTCTAACTACTATAGATAAACAATTTATAGCTACAATATAATAATATATTACTTTAAATCTATATCCAAATAATTTTGTAAAATAAAACATTAATATTAATTGGAAATACAAAAATAGATTTTTTGAAATAAATTGCAAAAATACAATGCTATCTAATTTAAATATATGTTAAGTTTGATTTATTTATTTTTATAGTATATATTATTTATAAAATTGTTTAYTAACTCATTTGTGTCTAAATAATTTTTAAAAATATATTATATAAATATAAAATAATAATTTTTTACTAAAACAAAGTTTTGATATACTGTACAATAATCGAATAAAACTATCAAATAAACTGATAATTTGTTTTTATGAAATATTTTTATTTTAAAGAAAGGCTTACTAGAAATCTATAATAAAATTTTCAAATATTTATTTTGAATAGTTTTTAAAATTATATGAAACTAACGGAAAGAATAACTGGTAAATGCAGAAAATTGACACACAAATAGATTTCATAAAATTTGTAAATTATAATATAATTTAAAGTTAAAWCAAAGCTAAACCTAATAAGTTAGAGTCTATTTGAGGGTCAATATAGCAAACATAAAAAATATTTTATATTGTAATTATAATTTTTTTCCTATTATTTTCATGTAATTTATAAATTATTCAAGATAACTTTGTTGAAAATTTTAATTATAAATTGTTATTTTTCTAAAAGTTTTACTGACATAAATAAGTAAACTGATCCCAAAAGTATATATTAATAAAAATAAATATAAGTTATTACAATTGTAACGGGTATAGGTGAGTGCTTACCCGTCAAATGCCCGTAAAGTAAGACTTTACGAAGCAATATGCAATGCGGGGTATATATGATAGGGAACTGTGACGTAATTACTGTACGGGATGCTATTAGAAGACTATTTGAAGAGTAACGGTATATTTGGATAGCTTATATATTACGCCACAGTATATATGAATGGCCCATTCGAGGCTCTGGTCATTGGTAACTGCGCTATATATCGGTATTTAGTATCGGAAGCCTTGTATCGGAACTCGGAAGGACTCGTCCGTAAAATGACGGAATTATAGCCCAACTCTGTTACACCTAAGGCTTGCACTTACTATTCAAATAAATGATACAACTGTTTATGAGCCTTGAAGCCCCTCCTAGACTAGCTATTGCTAGCCTGAGCTTCTCATTTATTGATAATATATAATGAGATAGTTAATGATTTACATGTATTGCTTATTACAGTATATTAAACATAATAATAATTAATTTAACTTATTTACATAATTAATAATAAAGCATAAATCATTTTAAACGAATAAACATAATATTAAGTAATAGTAAATGAATTCAAAAGTAGAAATAATATCAAATATAATTAGTTATAATTAAATAACTATGTTTAGTTAAAATATATATATTACATAAATATATACAGTTTAATAGTTATACATTACAAAGTAACTTTGTATATTGATTTACAATATTTAGACCATCACACAATATTTACAAGATTTTGTTAGATTTAATTACAATATTTATATTTTACATATAATAATTACAATGATTTTATTAATATGAAAATGTAATTTTTATTTAAGATAAATAAGTTTATAAATAAATATTTAAATAACAATTTAAAAAATAACAATAATAAATTATAATAAAGTAATGCATTATTATTATTGTGCGATAAGAATATAATTTTTATTAAACCATAATCTTATATGTTGTGAAAATATTATTTATTTATAGTATTTATAGTATTAATCTAATTTAATATTTTATTATTTTTTTTATAAAATATTATTAACTATTTTTTTGTTATACATTATAAAACATATTTTAAAAAATTAATTAAATAAATTACTTAATATTATTTGAAGTAATAATTTTTTAAAAAATTCTATGTATTAATAAAATATATTTTTATTATAAATCATATGTTTTGTCTATCGTTGCGATTGAATATTTACTATTATATTGATATAAATTATATCATATAATACTTTGTAGTAGTGTTCACAATAATAAAGAGTTTAGTTGTAAATTGTTTAAAAATACAAATACATCAATAGTTTATAAATAGATATTTATTGATTAATAAAAAAAATGTTAAATATAAAGACAAAATAAAAATTGAGTGCATTATTATATAGATTTATGGTATTAAATAATTTTGCATATAAATCAATATACTGTACAGTATTTTTTAAATTTAAGTATTACTATTTTCAGATGAATATCTAAATAATTATAATACTTAAATCTAATACAGAAAATGTTTTAAAAAATATTTTAAATAAATTTAAAATTAAAACAAAACAAAATAATTAAAAATTACATTAAAATACATCAATCAAACAATGACTAACTTGTTTGTTAATAAGTTTTAACACTCAAGTGAACTCCATTGATATTAATTTAACTTAAATCATAGATTAATATATAATATTAGAATCAATTCTGAGACCAATGGAGTCCATTTGAGTGTTACAGTAAAACTTATTTAGTAACATAAGTAAAGTCATTATTTATTAAATGTATTTTTTAAAAATTATAATGATATTTTTACATAATTTTAAAACTTAAATAAGATTTTCTGTATTTTAGTCAAATTTTATATAAACCTAAATCAAATTATATTAATTGTTTGTCTAGTTTTTGAAATATTTAACATCAATTAGTGATATTGGAAATTGAAATTTTATTAAATTTTATAAAGATATAATAAAGTCATAAAATAATCAAATATATTGGTAGTAAAGTTTATACTGTATTACTGTATATTAGAAATATTATTTTAGTTGTTATCATATAAAATTACTATAAAATTTATTATACAAATTTATTTTATTSTTACATAACCTTATATAAAAATTTCAAATAATTTATTATTTAATT